ATAATAATAATAATAATAATAATAATAATAATAATAATAATAATAATAATAATAATAATAATAATAATCCTGGCATCCTAGTCAATTGCACCTGGAAAAAAATATTGTAAAATTATGCTTAATGGTTTGTTGAGGCAACCTAAATATTACAATATACAAAAGAATTGTTTCTTTTAAAGCACATGTGTCTAATTCAAAGTTTTTCATCAATATATGAAATGTGGGGAGATGGTTAGACAGACAATTTAGGATAACAGTCCCTCCCTCCAAAATGTATGGAAATCCAAAAAGAAGTGTAAAGGGTACAAAAAGATACATGTACACAATATTAAAATGCATTTTATTATGGGAAATTGCTGGCAAAAATATTCACCAGAACAAAACGTTACACCAGAAGAAATATACAAGAAAGCATAAAAAAATATCATGCCAACTTTTCTCCCATTGCAAGTTACTGTAGAAATTGAAAAATATAAAACTTAGAAGTGGGGAAAATTTAAAAAAAAAATCCGAGCAAAGCTAAACTTGATATTTAATCCCTGCTAATTATAGGGTTATTTGTATGATTAAAAAATGCTACCTTTTAAGATGACCCAGCAGTAAATGCCCGTTGTCAAACTTTCTATTACACTGCATTATGGGACATACAATGGATTTGCTGGTAGATGGGATCTGATATAATTTTTGAGATAATATTCTTCTTCCTGAGTTTACAATGCCTGGCTTGAGACCTAAGCACAAAATAGAAATATGCAGATGTTACACAATTAAACTTTAAACTAGCACAGTATATAAGAACAAGATCATGGAAGGAACTTTGATTACATTGTTATAATTTATCTCATACCTATATGTTACAGCTGTCGCAAAAGGTTGAAACTGAAGTCTAATATTATTTCTTTTCAACATACTTATTATTATATGCTCATTTTGTAAATGTTTCTCAACTAGGCTGGTTAATCTGTTAACACTACAGCTATGATGTTAGAATCCAATATAGGTTAGATTCAGAGGTGGGTTCCTACCAGTTCGCACCTATTCGGTAGAACCGGTTCGTCAAATCTACCGAACCGGTTAGAAGAGGTTCCACCAGTGGACCTNAGCTTTCTGACAATGAGGACAATTAACCAGTGGAATAGCTTGCCATCAGAGGTCGTGGGTGTTTCATCACTGGAGGTTGTTAAGAAGGTTCCCCGGGCCGTCACTTGTCTGAAATTGTATAGGCCAGTCTACTGCTTGAGCAAGGGTTTGGACTAGAAGACCTCCAAGATCCCTTCCAACTCTATTCTGATTGATCTTAAGGCTGTTTAATATACAGGATGCAACAGCTAATTGCAATTGTTCTTCCAATGGTACAAAACAGCAGAAATCTCTTCCAAATATGTACTGTATATTCAATGGCAGCTATGAGGAACAAATTTAAAAGTCGAGACAGCAATTCCAGCAGTGTGAGTGGAGGCCCATTTCTTTTGTATCTGCATCAAACCAAGGGGTAGCCTTTTGATTTGCTGTATCAATTGTCATAGTGAATTTTTTGACTCAGCCTGCAGATGTTGCTTTGCATATCCATAAACGCCCATACATACAACCCTTGTAGTTTCCTAATCTTTAGAAAAACTGGAAGGCAGTATATTAATAACATCTTAAAGAGACTGTTGAAAAAAGAAATCATTTTAGTTGTTCTAAAAAGAAAGAAAGAAAATAGAAAATTAATTACCTGTATATTGAAATCCTCAACTTGAATATTCCTTGTTGATGCCTAACAGAAGAACAAACAGCTTAAATTCCATTTAAACTTAAAATGATATAGAAAAAAAACAGATCATTTGGTTTATTCATCTTTCTAATGTGTTCCATAAATAAGGAAATGCCAATTAGACAAGAATATTTAATTTTCAATTCAATTTCAGTTCGAACTGAATTGAATTGCCAAGAATATTTCCCACAGAAAACTACCCTCTGAATAAATCAGTTTAAAATAATCTTCGGTTTTGAATAGTTTAATAAATTCAATTCAACTTTTCCAAAGAAGCCTTAATATCACAATAATATTTTGCAATCTCTTTAGGTAACAATTGTCTGACTATACCTTTCTAGCATTAATGGGTGGTGTACTGGTAGAGCAAATTATGTCTAAAATCTGTAAATTAAAAGGCATCCATAATAGAATATTGGTCCCACGTGGATGTGAATTACATGGCAGCATTTAGAAATTATTACATTTCTAGTCACACTTGAAGCTCAGATTCAGAAATAATGCTGCATGATTGAAAGTATTTCATGGAACATTATTTAAGATCATAGAAGAGTAAAACTAGGAATTTTTCCAGGAAAAATGCCTTAATGTAATATATACAAGATAGAAATTGGCCATTTAATTTTTTAAAACATGCAATATTCACTGTTTTGTAGAATATGAAAAAATAATGTTGTTAAGTATAGATCAGAGGTGGGTTCCTACCAGTTCACACCTATTCAGTAGAACCGGTTTGTCAAATCTACCGAACCGGTTAGAAGAGGTTCCACCAGTGGACCCGGAAAGCAGGCCACACCTACAGAAGAGGTTCCAAATTTTTTTGAAACCCAACACTGGTCCTTGGATATGATTATTCTACACTCTCATGCTCATATTTATAAAACTCAGTGCCTCTGTGAAAGGTAAGGATGACTACTGCGTTTGTGGTGCAATCAGAACATTGCGTGTGCTGAAGTTTTTTTAACACAAACCAAAGATGCCTCTTAAAAAACAAGTTTACATCATATTCTTATGCAGGCCAGTGCTGTGTGTGAGGTAATTTAAGGTGGTTCTGACAAGTGTCGTCGGCATCTTCATATCCAGTCACATGGGTGGCAAGCCACTCCCACAAAGGAGGCCACACCCACAGAGTAGGTTGGAACAATTTTTGAAACCCACCACTGGCTAAGACGCTGAGCTTGTCGATCAAAAAGGTTGGCAGTTCAGTGGTTCGAACCCATAGCACCGCATAATGGAGTGAGCTCCCATTACTTGTCCCAGCTTCTGCCAACCTAGCAGTTGCAAAGCATGTAAAAGCTCTTTGGCTTTGAAACAGAATGACTAGCACGCCTGTGTGGGGGAACCTTTACCTTTATCCAGATATAGAGGACAGGAAATTGCCCATATGTGTTCCAGACATCTGTTTGTCATAAGGAAATTCCAGGACAGTAACTTTCCATGGAGTTCACTTCAATGGGGAGAAAAGTAAATGCACAGGTATAGCATAGTAAACCTGACTTAATAATAGTAACTGTGAAAGGGATCTTGGAGTCCTACTGAACAATGACCTAAATATGAGCCAGCAGTGGGCAGCAGCTGCCAAAAATGCCAACACAGTCCTAGACTGCATTGAGGAATAGAATCAAGTATAAGTTCATATAATTTTGGCTCACATAATACAAAAAAAATGATGTGGATACTCTAGAAAGAGTACAGAGAAAAGCAACAAAGATTATTTGGGGACTGGAGGCTAAAACATATGAAGAACAGTTACAGGAACTGGGTATGTCTAGTTTAATGAAAAGAAGGACCAGGGGAGACATGATAACAGTGTTCCAATATCTCAGGGGCTGCCACCCTCCAAAGTACCTGAGGGCAGGCCAAGAAGCAATGGGTGGAAACTAATCAAGAAGGGAAGCAATCTAGAACTAAGGAGAAATTTCCTGGCCGTGAGAACAATTAATCAGTGGAACCATTTGCCTCCAGAAGTTGTAGGTACTCCAACTCTGGAAGTTTTTAAGAAGAGATTGAGCAAGCATTTATTTGAAATGGTATAGGGTCTCCTGAGTGAGCGGAGGGAGGGGTAAACTAGAAGACCTGTAATGTCCATTCCAACTTTGTTATTCCATTATTCAGTTCAATATTGGGAGTCAATGGGATTAGGCATCTTACTCCTAATCATAGTGCAGACTTTTAAAGGAAACTAAGTTCGCAAACTGCACTTTCTACTCACTTTTTGAAATTGCTCAATAACTACTTCTAAGCTATTAGTGACCTTTAGAGAGATAAATTTGAAAACATCAGGTAAGCCTCTCTTCAATCCTGAATGGGAAAAAAAACCATGTTAATAATAATAATAAAGAATGTGAAACAAACAGCAGAAAGCTAAATAGGATTTTGATCTTAAAGATAAAACGTAAACGTTCCCCATGCACATACAGTATGTGCTAGTCGTTCCCGATTCTAGGGGGCAGTACTCATCTCTGCTTCAAAGCCGAAGAGATAGCGCTGTCCGAAGATGTCTCCGTGGTCATGTGGCTGGCATGACTAAATGCTGAAGGTTCACGGAACGCTGTTACCTTCCCACCAAAGGTGGTCCCTATTTTTTCTACTTGCATTTTTACATTCTTTTAAACTGCTAGGTTGGCAGAAGCTGGGACAAGTAACGGGAGCTCACTACATTATGCGACGTTAGGGATTTGAATCGCCAAACTGCCGACCTTTATGATCGACAAGCTCCACGTCTTAGTCACTGAGCGTCCCTTTGTAAGATTTTGATATTACAAACTGAATAAGGGTCCAGATAAAATTGGAATATTTAAATTTTTACTATAAGATTTTGGAATTAATCATAAACAACAAACCACTTAATCTTCATTTGGTTTGTACAAGACATAGCAAATGTAAGCAGTGTCTTGATTTCAAAAGCTGGACACTAGAGAGGACTAATGATTTAAAGTAAAGGAAAGACATACAGGCTTCTAAAATGATGCAAAATGTTATAACAATAAAAAATATTGAAGGAGAGTTTACACTTGAGGCTTCCCACTTGCTCATGAATTAATAGTTAATGGATGTGATATTTGGTGGCCATGAATCTGAGTAACCATTGTATAGTTATAGATAGTTCTAGGCAGTTCTAGGCTTATGACCATAATTGAGTCCAAACATTTATGTTGCTAAGCGATACATTAGTTTAGTGAGTTTTACTCCCTTTTATTTCATATATATGTATATATAAATCTGACCAAGTTAAATCACTTCACAATCTTTTCCTCTAATTTTAATACAACATATAAGCTACACAGTGGGATGCGATGGCTCAGTGGTTAAGATGCTGAGCTTGCCAATCAGAAAGTTTGGCAGTTTGGCGGTTTGAATCCCTAGCACTGCATAATGTAGTGAGCTCCCGTTACTTGTCTCAGCTTCTGCCAACATAGGGTATTGAAAGCACGTAAAAAATGCAAGTAGAAAAATAGGAACAACGTTTGGTGGGAAGGTAACAGCGTTCCATGTGCTGTCGGCGTTTAGTCATGCCGGCCACATGACCACGGAGACGTCTTCGGACAGTGTTATCTGTTCAGCTCTGAAACGGAGATGAGCACTGCCCCCTAGAGTTGGGAACAACCGTACATATGCGCAAGGGGAACCTTTACCTTAAGCAGTACAGCTGAATTGAAAAACAAATTGAAATCTTTTAGGTGAAAAAATAAACAATAAAAAACATACAATAAATGTGATTGCATAAAGATATGCAACCCGGTGGTGGGATTCCAAATCTTTTTCTACCGGTTCTATGAAAGAGCCCCACTCAAAGATCACTCTCGGTGTCAACGCTGGGCTGGGCTGTTTTTTTAGGTTAGCTGAGGCATAACAATCCCCTCTGCTGCATGAATTAGCTGAGCTAAAAAACAAGGGAATCTAGGACAGGAAATGATGGGGGAGGGAGGGCGGGGCCAACCAGAGGTGGTATTTGCCGGTTCTCCAAACTACTCA